GACCTGGTCAGCCTAGTGGAAGACAGTGGCAACTGCTGCAATCTTTGCAGCACGTGATTTTTTTTTTAATTATCTGCATGGTACAAGTATTTTTATGTTATCTGAACACTGTTGATATTTCTAAATATTTTAAAATTTTAATGCATAGTTTATCGGCTGTATTGTTACTTATTATGATACTGTACATAGTTTTTTTTATTAATTTAGTAAGTAGGTGTCCCCAATTAGCTCTATGAGCTAAATACATTGACACGGTAATAAAGATTTTATTATTATTATTATTATTATTTTTTTCCCAAGAAAATGAGACATTTTTTTTATTAAAACACAACGACCAACCAAGTTTCAAGGCTTCTTCAAAGAAGTCAACCACGGTGCAGGAAAATAAGAGTTAACGTTTGCAGCTTTTCACAAACCAGTTCAATAAACTTGATTTATGAAATATTTGTACAGACTTAAAAAACTTGTCAGTGAGCAAATGAGTTTTTCCATTGCAAGATAGATGTGAACAGAGTCATTCACCGTGAAATCCGATTTACCTTTTTGAGACAAGATTATAGGTGTTTGTTGTGTTTTTATTCTACCACATTTTCCAAATTACCAACTTGTTACAAATTCAACAGTAACTTAAAACTAAATGTTTCCTGTTGCCGAAACTTTAACTCAAGACCATGTGCTTTCATCCATGGCCCGAAGCTTTTCACTTTGCACTTCATATAATGACAACGCAATGTCCAACCCGTTCAGAGCCAGAAACCATAGTTCTGCGGCGATAACAGTGTTTACGCACGACACAATCGATCTCAAAGTAACATCGGCCCAATGGGATTTTCGTAAGCCTGTAGAGTCTAGGCAGCTGTCGAGGTTTGATTCAGACGTAAGCAGCCTCTTATAGATTTCCACCAACTTTTGTACTCAACTTCTTATCAAAACGTCTGTCGGATCTTTAAGAACTGTCCCGGTCCGATATCGTCAATGAGAGACACCTTGACATTATAGGTGTTGGTATCTATGACTGCGCTGACACGACCATTGTCTGTTAGGAGAACCTTGATTGGTTGGTCGTCTTTCAGGCGTCGAAACATTTCCGAAATTTCCTTCGTGAGGTTAGGCGCTAATACAATTGCAAACGAAAATATTCTATCATTCACGACGAACCTGTGCATCCTTTTTTTTTTCCGATATTTCGCGAAGCCCAAAGGTCTT